ACAAAGCAAAGCAAGGGAAACTTAATAAATAAATGATACAGGGAAGGCAATTCTTAGCCCTTTCCCTTTTAACTTTAATGGAAAAGTCTCCTAAGGAGAATAATTCCAAATAGCTGCTTGGGGTAGACTTTTTTCTAAGGGTAAAAAAGATAGGGGAAACACAAATATGGACTTTCCTTTTCTTCACTGATCAGCACTTTGCCTTTTGCTTTGAAAGCTGTTGTTACTCCCTAAATAAACTCCTTGTTACTCCACTTTCTCTGTAATAAGGGTGGCAGATGTTTGCTATCGTGCGTCATAAGTCTGAAGGTGTATTTCAGTGGTAAATACAGAGTATGAAACCCACTATTTGGATGTCATTACCACAGCTCAACTAACATGCTGTCACTGTCATTTTAGCATCCTAATTACATCAACATTGTCCTCTGTGACTCTCACCGCAGATTTCCAATAAAAATGTCTGTGATGAAGGAAGTAGCATTATTGCAATCAAACAGCTGAAAAACATCTCTAATCCTAGATTGTTCAACATCCCAGACATGCTATAGAACATAGTGAACAGCTACACATGGCAGGAAAGTACACCTATGCTGTGCACTGCTCTGGCTTAGACAGCTGCTGAGAAGCAGTTAAACATGGATGAGAATTGCCAAATTTCAGTGCACCTCACTCCTCGGACCCTAGAACAATGGTAAAGAAAGACCATAACCAATATAGTTTCTGCCTCTTAGTATCTTTCCTGCATGCTTGCATACAGGCATATGATTTTCCACACAAAAAAATCCCACACCATAGAATTTTTCAAAATGTTTTCACCATTGGTTTTGGTTCAATTTCATGGCAAACCTAAATCCAGGAAGCCTGAAGTTCCTGGGTTCTGCAGCACTTTAAATACACAGAGCTATGCAGAAGAAATCTCCAAGGAGATACATTTCTAGGAATCACAGCATTACTACAAAGCTTGAAAAAGTAATGTACTCTACCCCAAAAACTAAGATGAAAAAATACAGTACTGATTACAAAAAATCCTATTAGGAGACTGTAGGAAAGAAGCTCCTGAGTTTCACTGCTATTTCCAATAGAGTATAAGAACTTGCTGCTTGTTCTCTCAAGGCAGAGAGCTCTCAACGTGGAAGGTTTGAAATAGTCTTGAACAAATGCTCTTTTCTACCTTTCCTAGTTTTTTTTCTTCTTTTGATGCCACATGGGTCTGAACCATGACTGGAGCCTATTTTGTGTCAGGAGCAAAAATTGTTCTGGACACGTTTGGCTGCAATACGTCATTAGGAACTGGTTTAGCAACTGAGTAGACCCAGAGTAGAAAAATATTAGATTGATGCTCTCTGTGATTTGGAACTCATCAGAGGTGTGGAATGAATATAGTCTGAATAGCTCCAGCTCTATTATTGTTACAGAATAACTGCTCTAATTTGGAGTAATTTGCCACTGATTGGATGCTCCTGTCCGGTTTTACTGCGTGATAGGGTTATGTTAGTTAGCATGTGTGGTGAAGTATTTTCTGCACACTGTGGTGGTTTTTTTTTTTTCTTTTCTCATAAAATTATCCATGAATTTTACACTCCTATCCTCTGTTGACATCTCTACCAGTGAGAGCACTAGTGAAACAAGTGAAACAAAAACTTTTTCCTCTTCCCCAATAATGGTATACACATTGCTTTCTGCACCTTTGGTGAAGAAAGCAATGACCATGGTTTGCCAGCACTGTCCTTGCTTCTAAAATATGAAGAAATATGAATAATATGTTTATTTTGTGCAAAAAATACAGAAAATTTTATTCTGCTGGGGAAAGATATATTGAAGTCTAAAAAAGATTTCAGAGCTACCTATGCTATATATAACTTAAAGTGACTCCTTAATCTGTTATTAAAGAGAAAAAAAAAAAAAAAAAGAAAAAAAAAAGAAGGTTAGGATCCTTGCAGAGCTCTCAGATCTAGAATACATTCTTGGGTGAAAACTTCATTCTGGACCATCAAAGCTGTCTGTTCTGAATAGGACATTGATCTGCAGCAAGTCTTCCCAAATGCACATGGAGCTCCCATTCACATTCTAGCCTCTTCCACAATTTTTTACTCAGATTGCCAATCTCACTACTTAATCAAGGTATCAGTTTTCAGCATTGCTCCCAAAGGATTGCTGAGTGTTACAGCAATTGTCCAGCTTTGGAAATCCTGGTATAGCCAGATATGTTACCTGTAAACAAACATGTTTTTTTAAGAAATTGTAGAAAGCATAATGACTAGTCTGGTATTTAATTTTGCTATAAATGAAAGATTTTTGTTACAGAAATAAAATCTCCCTCTACACGAAAAGGAAAAGGTTTATTTCACTGTAAACTTCTTTACACTTTCCAAGTATCATTTAATTCCTACACATATACAACTATACTTCAGACTACCATAAAAGAGAAGCTGTGATGTCACTTCTGACAGAAATTAGAAATGAGAGCAACCTTTCATAAGTTTGAGTGTTGGTGACATTTTACCTCGTCTGCTTCAATGTTGAAAGAGCTGATGGGGACACTGGCAAGTCAGATCTTATGCCTTGATTTAGTTTCCTCAAACAAAAAATCGAGAAGAGAGACTCACCTTCTTTGTACAGCATTCTGAAAGTAGGTACAGAAATTATCATGTAACTAATATTGTGTAACTTTCTCTTGTACTGACTGAATCCTCTGTTAAGTGAATAATTGTGATCTGTGACAGCTTTGGGCTTGCAAATCAGCGCAGATGAGATTCAGCAGACTGGAAAAGCAAAAATCAAAAAGTGCTCTATCAGATTACTTCCTAATCTCAGTGTCACGTCAAGTGCACATGTAGTAACTGCAGAAAAAACTCTGATTTGCATTTCTGGTAGTCCAGATCACCAGATCATAGCCTCAATGTGTTTGCTTTCCAAATAAGACCAAAATAAATGATTTTAGTTCCAATATAATGGGAGCACTAGCTGCAATTTAGCTGAGCTGATGTATCCAACCTTTCAGCATGGTTTTGAGGGGCTGGCTGCACTGGTGCCCTGAAAACCATCACGGAGCAGAGCTGGCTCACTTCTTGAGTACGGACAGATCCACTGTGCAGCAAAAATCTTACACAGCATAGACATTGTGGCAGTCCTTATGAATCACAATTCATTAGCTCTTCTACTACTTCACACAAAAGGGCAATGGGGTCAGAACTTTGCTCACAGGAGGCTCATACAGGTAATGGTAAAACACTGCATGGATCTTGTGTGTAAAGGATTTCCTGTTTGAAAGATTGTCATGCACTTTCTTTTATTGACACCAATTTTTTTTTAAGTGGAGAAAATACAGTTTCTATTCTAGTATGACTTCAAAGCCTAGAAAGAGCAGTTTTTAGTCCCAAGGTGATATGAAGAAGGATTACACTGATGGGCACAGAGGAAAAGCAGACTAGGCAAATATACTGCAAGCTGATATGGAGTACAGCTATTATTATTACTATTACATTTTGTCTGCCTTTATATACTGTATATATAGACACTTGGTAGTAGAGTAGAATCAGCAGTCTCTGTTCATCTATTCATTACTTTCAGATATACTTCAAGTGCTTTTTTAGTTGACATGGATCTAAACCCAAAGAAATCAATAAGAAAAAGTAGACTACAGCAGTTGCACATTAGATTAAAAGAAAAAAAGTATGTAAGGAGTTCAATCCCATGTTAAGTTCTTTCTTACTGCATTATCAGTGTAGTTATGCCATTGTAGCACTTTGTTATTAAAATTCATTATCAAAGGTTATTTTTGAGAAAGTATAAATTCTAAAAGTTTTCAGTTGTGCCATTGTGTCTGAGGCAAAAGTTACCCTAAAATTCCTTGTTCAGTTTTCTTCTCTCAGCTACTTCAGATTATTTCCCCAAAACATGACTTTCAATTCAGAGCTATCTTTTTAATGACATATGAATTAGAGCAGTGATCACAGATAATTATTTTTTCTGCATTATAACTTTAATATGCTCTTATTAAGCTCACAATATTGTTTTATAAACTTAATTATAAGGATAATAAGGATGAATGAAGACTCATTTCTATTTTCTTTCAGAATAACTTCTCTGTGGGAGCTAAAGAAAAAAGCTAAAAAAAGGTGTGACAATAAGAAGATTAAATATTAAGTGCCAGCAAGTGTTTCTATTTCTCTGTAAAGACTTATATATAACATTAGCTTTTTAAAGATTCTTACAGAGCATTTTATAACTGGTTTACATGGAGTATAAATAAATCACCTAATTTTGGACTAGCCATTTAATAAAGAATGTTAATTAACTCTTTTACACACAAAAAACCTGTTAACTCTTACTATGCAAATCTAGTGATGATGGCCACATTAAATTCCTGATTTAGTACATACTAATGGTTTTGAGAACAAGTGTAATTTAAGCTTGAGCTATACATTGCAGAATTCTACAAAGTCCCAGGTCAAAATAGTAAGGTTGGTGAAACGCATCCTCTTTGTGGAAGGAATAAGGTCACACTTTTAAAAATCACCTGACATAGATATGCATTAGAAATCCACCACTGATTTCAAAACAAATCTAGACATTTTAATTTGGACTTCAGTCTTCTAAAACAGGCATGTTTTCTATATTGGTCATATAATCTATTTTCATATTTAGGGAGAGAGACTACTCAGTAATTCACAAAATAGATGTCTTTTAGGGAGACTAGATGCTTATTTTTTATTTTCTCTAGGGATGTAGAGCTATTAATTCTTTTTGGAGTCAAGTGCATGAAGTAGGGTCAGTTCTTTCTGGATTGGCAGGTGGAGAATGTAAGGAGCATGTCTTAAATGCTGTTCTAGAAAATAGGAGAATAAAATCCAAATACCTTCTCTGTGTAATTTGTGTTCTTATCTTCCAGGAAAGAAATCTAACAACTAAGCTGTAAGAAGGAATTCAGAAATAAAGGTCTTTGTGCATCACAGGTGAGACTTAAATACTTGACTACTGTAACAGAATGTAATTCTCACCAGTACATTGTGGCTGTGGAGACAAAATCTTCCATCTGTGATGCATCCTAGAATACAGCAGCTTCATGAGACAGATTGCAGAATGGGTAAATATCTGTTTTAAAATGAAACAAAACACATTTTAAGGTCATCTTGTGATGTCATAAGTCAGTGCTTTCAGCTACATGTCAGTTAAGTATCCTTCCTCTCTCTCCATGCTGATTTACGTGAAGTTCAGTCATGCTCCAAAAATCATGAGGGGATGAGATATACTATAGGGAGAACACATTTTGATTTGAGAATCCTAGGGGGGTAATGAGATGTCCTCAGGCTTTTGGTAGCACAGTCACAGTAGAAAGGTTTGTGGCTTCCACAGAGCCAAGGAGCCAATGTGTGGATTTCCACTCTAGAGACCTCACCAACAATTTGGATGAAGAGGTCTCCAGAGACAGAAAGCCTAATGGCAGCTGAGAGGGTAGACAGTCCCACAGGTGCCTAAACATTTGAACTTAGGAACATGAAGCTGTTGCCTAAGTTATCTTCAATCAGACTTTGACTCTCTAGGCTCTATATGAAATATTTCCATTAGTGCCTGTATGTTAAATGTTTTACTTTTATGTAAGGGCCTAAAAATTCAAGCAAAAAACCAAGGGAATTTACTAAATATTCTGGGTATTATATTAAGCAGTTAACATTCCTACCTTCAAATTCTGCCCTCTCCATGCCTTGTACTTGCTTTTGAAAATGAGATTTTAGAAATTCTTTCATAACCTACTCTGAAAAACTACCCTCCCATTTTACTAGAAAAGTGCAGAAGTTTTATTGGTCCAAACACTGATTTATTTTCATAACATCAAGTTTGCCTTTAAAGAAAAAATAAAGGAGAGTGTAAATACTAATCTTTTAGGGCTTTGATATATTTGAAAACAGAATCCAATTAAACCCCTATATTTGCTAATCTTTGTCTTAATAAAGTTGCTGTGGGTGTTACTGGCTGTTTATATCATGAAAACATGGAGAAGCAGCATGATTATTTTCCTATTTGTGTTCAGATGTTTTACCATCATAGACACATTATATAAACATTTACCATTATAAACACATGAGAAAACCTGCTTAAATCTATTCAATATATAAATCAGAAAATAGTTTTAAAAAGGAGAGAAGGTAATTAACTTCACTTCCTAATGATGCTCCTAATTTAAACTATGCAAGAGATGTTTAATGGGTGAGAGAAATGTTGCAGAAAAAAACCTGTTCTTCAGTTAAAAAACAAAATGAGAAGTAGTAGAGTTTGAATCTATTTGCACATCTTCAGCAGACTTACTCTGTGACCTTAACCAAAGTGTTTAATTTTTGTGCCATGCAGTTTTTCTATAAAACAGAAATTATAAGTCAACTTGCTGAGAGATTGTGGGCCTTAATTGTTTAGTATTTATATCTTCTGAGAGAATATAGATAGGATTGCAGAGTGTGATGAATGATTAACATTCTTTTGCTGTTACCAAGCTCTGATATTTTTGCCCCGCTATTTGATCATACAAAAATTTTTACTTTTTATATCCAACAACTTCCCTGACTGAAATGTATTGAGCAACAAATGTGAAGTCCTTCTCATATCTCTTAAATGTAATTAATGCCCAAATTACTCTCAAAAGCAGTAGAGAACAATAATGTTCAAGTCTACCTCCACTGATTGCACCTGCCAGTTCCAGAGGAAGATGAGTAAAGAGTGTCTTCCAGGTAAAATATATTTACTGCAATTTAATGGTTTAAACACCGCCCCCCCAAATCACCATGGAACTAAGCTTCAGGCTTAGCATGCAGGTCCTGGAGAATGGAAATAAACCCACAACTTTCTGCTTCTGATTGAGCTGGTGATTACACTCGTGGTCAACAGAGAAGATTTGTTTTGCAGGTGATGAGTTCCTGAAGCACAGGTCTGGCCCACACAGCTGCTGGATCTGAGTGCTCCAGGCAGAACGTTAAGCAAACCTCTCAAGCTTGGTTACAAGAAAAAGGCTACATAGGTACCAAATGCACTCTAATTGTTGATGACTTGTTCAGAGAAATTATAGCGTAATACTTGTGATGAACAAGTACTGCTACTTCGAAGCAACAAGTAATTGCCAACAAATATCTTCAAAAATTTCCTACATAGTCCATCATGCCATTACAAATGTGAAATGAATCCAACAAACAAAAAAAAAACCCAAAAGAAAATAAAATCTGTGCACAATAAACACAGATACAAAAATGGTTTATGAAAGTGCTGTGGTAAAGAAAAAACACAATAAAATAATTAGAAAATATCACAATAAAATAATTAGAAAATCTGGAATAAAGTTTGCTGATTATTTATTTATTTATTTTATTTATTATTTGAAATGATAATTTAATCTTTGTAATTTAAAATGTTAATAGTAACATGCAAAAATAAAATAAGCTTTTCTGTGATGAAGAAAACCAGCCCTTTCAGGACAGAATCATAGTCTCTTCCATCAGACTTGAAGAGAATTAAACATATGTCAGTGTGACAGGTCTTAAATTCACAGAAAATAATACCGGGATGCAAAAAATAAAATTTCTTATTATTGAATGCTAAGGACATCACAGCCACCGGGCATGACAAGTGACAATGACTGATCTAAACCATGTAGCAAGTATGTTAAATAGCGTTTTGAGCAAAGTAAGAGTGCAAACTAAACACCTCTCCTATTTATGACTTACTGGTAAAAAAATTTTGAATGCCCTTAGAAGAACAAGATGCAGATATTTTTGACCAATATGATCATATTTTTAATTTGCCAAATACCTTTACAACCCTGGAATACATTTGCAATCTATCAGATTAATCCAATATTATATAAGTATCAGATATTATTTGAAGAAACAGAAGGAAGAAATGCAATTAGAATATAAAAAAAGGCACAATATGTGTATTCTTTTTTGAATTCCTGTTGTCCAGCTTTCCCATGCGTGTGTCACACCTTTCCAATCTGACCTTCAGGGTAAAGAACCAAATATGCAAAACATGAGGTTTCTTATTTTGTACGCAGAGCCTTTTTTATCTTCTCCTAGCTATTTCAAATCCATTAAATATTTCAGTTGTAGTTTGGGTATTTTCAGACCTACATATGATTTTTATCTAGTTCATACACTAAAATATTTCTCTTAGTTCCTTATCATTGACTTTCTCAGTAAAATGCCTCTTGATTAGCCTCTGGTTTTCTCTGCAGTGTGCCAAATTCTCCTTCAAAGCTGAGTCAAAGCCTTTTGAATATTACCAGCTTTGCTGCTGTGTAGGGTAAGGATTTCATCTGAGTGTTGTAGCTTACATTAAAACTGTCTGCTGTGCTAAGGGTACAACTAGGCCTGCACCAAACACACAGCAGGCCTTGGAGAACAGCTCCAGGGGATAACCACCATGCTGCACACCCTTACCTTCAAGCAGCTGAAGAACACTTGGCTTAAAGCATTCAGTAGATGTGTTCTTAAAACGCCAAGGTTGTACTTCAGGAACACAAACTAATTTAAAATGGAATTAGCAGCTACTTGCTACAGTGAGATTTCCCAGTGAGAGACTCTTCAGGATGCTCTGAGCAGTTTTTACACAAAATATTGAAAATGAATTGCAGCGCAAAACCTCTTAACTCCCTACACTTACCAAAGGCATCTTTTCCCACTTCCTCTCTTCCAATATACTTTTTTTAAGATGTTTCTGTTTACCCCCTCAGAGAAATCAAAAGGGAGTGTGTATCTTTGTTCTTTTTTTTGCTCCATCTGATATTGCATTAGCTCTGAGTCACCTGCATTCTGAGCTCTCAGTCTGATCTTGTCTAGGAATTGTACTCATTAACTCAGTCGAAACAAGTTCACAAAGACAACACTAGCATAATGTACAGAGTACAGAGTCAAGGTCAAGTTGCTTAACATATGCATTTGTTCAGCTGTTTTTGAATTTCCTCCTGCAAATGCGAGCTTGGAGACTGAGTGAGCTTGCTCAATGCTCTTAGAGATCCCAAATGGAATAATTCAATGTAAGGTTCTTGCATCTGCAAAACTGGGTTTCCAGCTTTAAATTTTTTTGCTGTTGTTTTAAAAACTATTTTAAAATTTTAGCTACCACAAGTAGAAAAGATAGTGTTAGAGTGTATTACATTATCTGAGAAATAATTAAATACATGGAAATGGTAGCTGTACTATAAACATGTGTGGAAAACAGTAGTAAAGAAATGGAAGCTGTTATTTCCTGATGGCTCTAAACTATGATATATATGTTAGTCCCTTTTGCTCAAACGGAAAATATGAAGTACTTTTTCCATATACATTTTATTATTCAGTGGAATTGACTTGCACTTTTGTGTTAGGAGTCATGTCCTGCTTAACAGATGATGGACAGAGCCTATCTCAAACTGAGTTCATTTGAGTCATCAGATAGCCCAAACTTTTTTAATGTTTTGCAAAACTATATGACCACAGAACCCCCTTCTTTATAAAGATGTAGTTTAAGCAGTTTATGTAACACTTAATTGTAGTTTCTAAAATATTATAGTAATAACATATCTTTTGTCAAGTTCCTGGAGGGCTCCATCAAAACAAAAATTTCATCATGTTTGCAATATGAGCATTCCCTTGCAGGTGGAAAACTTGCTGCAGGAAATATTTTGCCTGAGCCAAGATACAGTAAATGATGGCAGCAAAAGAGGAGAAGAATGATAAGACAAAAATAGAGCAAGAAAGATCATGCATTTAAGTATGCAGTTCTCAATGGCTTTAGAAAACTTAAAGTATCTATCTAGATCAGCCATCCTATTTGCTAGTGGATTACTACCAGAGTGCTCTCTCTTTTTTTTTTTTTTTGTTTTTTTTTTGACTTTTCTTTCCTTAGTTGTTAATGGCAAGATTGACTCGAGGAGCCTGTTGTAGCATTAAAGGGCAACCTAGAGGGAACTTGAAAGGCGTTTGCTACCACAGCAGCTATATGAGCAAAGATGGATAGGTTCCAAGGTGAGTACAATGGCAAAAACATAAAGGCTGACTCTGATGTAGTAGGAAACAGAAGAAGGAGAAAGAGCTTCAGAACAGAAGCAAGCCTTTCATATCAACTGACAC